TTGTATTTCTATTTACCTTGGTTGTTATGAACTTCTGGTTGAAGGGAATTTGTATTGTCATATGTTGGAGAGGATTGGCTGTTGATTGAAATGTCAAAGTCAATCCTCTCTGATTCTTTGTTTGAAGTTTGGGAATTAGAGGGATTTGATAGTGATGGTTGAGGGCTAAAGACAGAAGGGACAATAACAGGCTCAGTGCCCCCTCGGTAATCAACCTCTATCGGGACAGCCTCAATTGTGACATCCCTGAGAGCAATAGGAGGAGGTTCTAGCTGTGAAGGATTGTGTGATGCAGATTGTGTAGATTGCTGCGGCGAAGACTGTGAAGGAGGTTGTAAGGAAGTTTGCTGAGATGCTTCAGGTGGTGGTGGAGTTGGTTCTACAGTGGGTTCTCTGGGTACATTGGTGATGGTGATGGTGATGGGACTAGGAATTGGATCAATGTGTTGAGGAGAAGTGGAAGGATGTTGTGTTGCAGATTGTGTAGATTGCTGTGGCAAAGACTGTGAAACAGGTTGTAAGTAAGTTTGTTAAGATGCTTCAGGTGGTGGTGGAGTTGGTTGTACAGTGGGTTCTCTGGGTACATTGTTGATGGGACTGGGAATTGCATGAATGTGTTGAGGAGAAGTGGAAGGATCCTCATCATCAGCAGCAGTAAGGAGTAATCTCCTTCTTTTTCTCTGCACAAAAGTAAGTGATCATTCGGGCGTGAATGGAAATTGAGATGATGTAAATATGTGAAGTGAAGGCATACTTGGTAGAGCTGCCCTGAAGGATTGATATTGTTTGGCCAACCATTTGGCTGAGAGGAATATCCCAATCACTTAGGTCTGTACTTAGAGCAAGACCAGTGGAAGGCTCTTCTTTCTTCTTCGCTGTGACCTCTGTCTCGACAGGGGCACGGGTGGTAGTTCCTCTCTGTGCTTGTCTCTGCGAGGCTGTGAAAGAGTCTGCCATCAATCTCGGAACTGAGGGGGTGTTTGTCTAAGTAGTTCGATCCATTGGAGCCTTGCCTTTATGTTGGTCCCTAACCAATGGTTCAGGAGCAGGCCCAATTTTGTCTGTCAAAGGTCAAACAAGTTAGTGTTGTAGAGAAAAAAAACAAAAATGCATGACACAGTCAAGGATACGAAGTATATGAAGGAAGGATACCTGTAGCCTTAAGCTTGGAAGGCGAGGATATGGGGCCCTGATTATGAAGACAAGTATCGTGAAGGCAGGTTTCAAGTGGCTTGCAGAAAATAATGGCAGTCATAAGTCCCCACCAATGGTCAAAAGCAATGGAGCAGTCCGAAGCAGGTTTGAAGAAGAAGGGGCCAAAATCTTGGAAAATTTTGGTGTTCTCTGTCGGAATGGATTCGGCTTGTCTAGGATCTTTGAAGTAGATTCTGGACCCAATCTTCTCATGGGTGGTTGGGTGGAAATAAGGATAAAGGATACCCTAGGAAAGACCTAATTGCCTGGACCATTGATTGGGACAGTATGTCTCAAAACTGCAGTTGGACATCTTGCTGGAGGATGTGGAACAGCCAACCAAGACATGTCTAGACGTGAGAATGTGTCTCCAAGTCTCATTTTGTTCTTGGACTTGGTCATTGTGTAAATCAGAAGGGTCTGTGAAGAGAAAGCAAAGTCGACTGGAGGAGAATTCAAAGTTTTGAAATGGCATGTACAAGTTGGAAGGTCTCTTCAAAGGAAGGTTGTAAAACATGGTAAGATGATTTTTGAAAGTGAGGATGGGTTGGCTGTTATAAGTGAGCAATTGCTCCGCATACGAGTGGAAAACTGGTTTCAAGGTGTTAGCTAGTCGAGGTCGTGCCTCAGGGAAATAGGCATACAACCAGGCCTGGAAGAGCCAGAAGGGGCCACCACAGTTGCCAGAAATCTTCTTGTCGACAAAGGAAAATAAGGCCTTGTAAAGGGTGGCAAGAAGATAAGGGGCTAAAGCCATAAGTTGGCCATCTTGCATACACAAGGCAAGGGGGAGGTATTCCTTCGTGATCTTGTACCCAGGGACACAAAAAACAAACTCACAAAGCCAAAGTAAGTAAAAAGCAGTTCTTTCTTTGTCCTGGACAGGGGAACAAAGCTCGCATTTGTATTTTTTGGCAAAATCTGTATAGCACATGTCAGTGTTTAAAGTAAAGGTCACTTTTGGAGGCTCAAGGAGAGCATGAATTGGATTGTCCAAGATTGGGAGACTAGTCAAGTGAGCTACATCTAAGATGGTAGGGGAAATCATACCAAAATTGAGAAGTAGGGAGTTACAAGATTGCGACCAAAAGCATGTAGCAATCAGCCCTTTGTCCATGTCATAATTTTTAGTCGACAGTTTAATTGCTTCACTAATGCCTTGGTGCTTCCATACTTCATCGTCGTGACCTTCAATTCTCCTGGCCCAGCTTCGCTAAACAGAATCTGGTGACCTCCACGATCTGAGTGGGTCTTTGCTGACATTCCAGTTAGTCCATTTAAGTCCAGGTTGGTTGAGAAGAAGGTTCTCACCATTACCAAGGGGATAGTATGGAGCTAGCTCGTCTGGGAAGTAAGACGCGAAGGTAGGGCCTAAAGTAGCCTTAGTGACAGAGCTTGTGCTGGGCAATAGGGTTGCAACAAATTTTAGAGGAGCGATACGTGCTCTGATAGGGTCTGGGAAGCGGAGTAGGTCTTCATTGTTCTCCTCAGATGGAGATGGTTGAGATTTTTTCGGCACCATGGCTTAGGGTTTTGTGGTGCTCTGGTTTTGAACGGCAATGGTTGAGAAGAAGGAGTACAGTCTGGGGAGTTCGAATCAGAGGGAAATGAAGTGGTTTGAAGTTGAAAGGGTGGGTCTTTTATAGCTTATGATGGGGCCAGTATATTTAAAAGCTCTTATATTGGGCTGTACTTTATGCTTGTTTTGGGCCCAAACAATGGCCCCCTCGTTGAAGTTAAATATCATATGACTTGGACCCCCATGACCCCCTCTCTCTCTGATTGGCCCCTTTTTTTTTTTTTTTTCAATTTCTTATTTTTTTTCCTTCTCCAAACAGCAGCCCCCACGTGTGTGTGTGTGGGGGCAAATACCTTTGTTCTTGGAATTAATAAGTTAAATAATAATAAAATGACTATAATCACCCTAAACCTCTAACATTCTTATTGCCCTAAAAGACAATTATATGAATTGCTCTGTCCAATCAACTCTGCTTCTCCCATTTGAAAAAATTTTGAGTGCTAGTAGTAACCATGTGGTGATGCCACACCAATCACAAATACCTAGCTTCTCATGTTTTCTTTTAAACACTAATGTGTAAATGTTATTGAGCCCACTATTTAAGCCAATCAGATAATAAGAGGGTAATTATGTGACACTTATCACCTCTTAACATGCACAAAACATTTCACCTATATCATAACTACTACCATTATTAGTTCGGAAACGCTATCCTCATTGGAAAATTTTGGTGATAATTAGGGGTGGGCAAGCATCCACCCGATTCGTCAAAATCGAATGGCTCGAATCAATTCGTCATAGAATGAACAGTTTCAATGATCTAAGTGAATGGATGAAAATGCATTTTTCTCAATCCGCCTAAGTTTAAAAGGATGGCGGATGGGAGGCTATTCGACCCAACCCAATTTGCCAACACTCCTAAAAAAATGATTTTTTTTTCTCTGTGTTCAAAAAGAACAATATCCCATACCGGGCCGTCTGTGTTGTAGTGCTATCAATTGAGGGTTGAGGCCATTGCTGGCCATCCTTGCTTGCAGCCCTTGTCCATCTATGCAGCACACAAGTTGGGGGAATTTGCGTTAAATTTTCAGCTTTCATAACACATATCATGTGGCAGCAAGGTAGCCCCAACGACTCAAACTTCATGCAAGAACATCTCATTGCAGCATCCATTGGACTGTGTGTTACTATCCATGATCTATCCTTCACTCTGTACTGTAATTTAATCAAAATATATTCAATGTCGGTAAACTTGAAAATATGTTTGAAATAACATTTTTTTGTATTGTAATGACTTAAACACAATTGTTGTCTTACATTTTACGTAACGAAAATACACAACTTGTTTATATCAAAAACAAAATATACATCTCGGGTTTATAATCAAAAAAATGGGAACTACTTTTTTTTTAAAAAAAGTTCACTCATATTTTCACCTACATTCTGATTGGATATTAGATTAAAAATTCCTCTTTGCACCTATTTTTTCCACATCCTCCCAACAGCTGCTCCATTCAACTAACATTGAATCTTGCATGGCACCTGACTTACACGCTGGAGCAGTTACTGGCAGTGCTCATGGATTTAGTGGCCAGCCTCCAAGAGGAAACATGAACGAATTGGGAGTCTGTATCTGTCGAGGAAAGGCTAAAAGGACCTGGGCACAGGTGGTAACTTCAATTATATGCACTTCGACAGGTGGCAACTTACTTTCTACATTGTAACTTCTGTGTAGTTTTTTCCCTTCTACTTTCTACTTTGTTACAAACAACACAACAACACAACAACTTACTTTCTACTTTCTACTTTCTACTTTGTTACTTTCTACTTTGTTACCATCAGTTCATCGAAAGAAGTCTTCATCCATTTCAGGCATTTGAACCAATACCAATTGCTTGATTTTCTTCTTGAACTTGTCAACTTTAAATTACTGCTTCGTTGCTGTCCATATAGGCCCACCATAATTTTACTAACAATAAACCCATACTTCCATAGTAAACATTAAATAATTTCACAACTCCTGTTCGTAACTCGTAATTCATATACCGATCGGCATGGAGATAAAGTAACGAGTTCGTTGGGTTACTTTCTCCAAGTAACACCCAAAATTAACTGCCACTTGGATTATATACAAAATGCATGTGCTGGTATGTAATTTTGCAAACCCACATGGACAAAATTCGTATTTTACTCGAAATATAATACTAATTTACCGAAACAAGTCATAACAAATCAATACGAAGCGAAACACATTGTTAGTTGATAAACCACACCGCAAAAAAACCCTTCAGTTAGATCCAACCAAAAATGGAACAGAAACAAGCAACCCACAATAGAAATCTTGGAATACAGACATAAGCCAATTTCCCACCCAAAACAAGACACAGACAACCCATATATATCTCACCTTCAATTAGTTTTCAATATCACAAGTCACTGCAAACACAAATGACAACATCACTCTAAACAATATGGCAAATTTACAACTCGTGGCCTTGTACATAAGTAACGTTGTGCCATTTCCTAGCATTGTACGTAACCAATTATTTACACGTTATGCAAAGCAATCCGTGCAAAATGAAAACTACATACATTATTTACATGTGTTTTCAATAGCTAGTACTGTCTATCTAATAAATTAAGGGAATAAGTAAATCACACAAATTATACAATTACCTGATTCACCTCATCAATTGTGGTCGAATCATTTTTGCACACTGCTGCTTCAACACTAACGTATTGGCCAACGGGTTGCTTACAATCAGGAGAAGCATCAAAAAATAGTCGCCGTTGCTTAATGTGCGGTGTACTTGGATCCACCAACCCAGTTTTGCAGCGAATGGGCAATGACTCCGCATTGTACTCACAGTCAGTTATGTGGGTTGTATCTGCATCTGAGTTACTACCCATTGTTCGGCTAAACCGAACCTTAGGACACGTTCGCTTTGTGTGCCCAATGCATTTGCAATTCCCACATTTTCTCGGTCTTCGACAGTTGGACGAGGCTCGTCCCGGGTTCCCTTTTGTCTTCACAACATCAGGATCTTCTACTCCAAATTGTCGAGGGAATGAATGTTTCCCTTTGTCTCCATTCCCATCGTTTAGATTCCTCTCATATAACTCCTTTATCCAGCTCGTCATTGGAAGACATGCATCCCTAGCCTCTTTGAAACCTTCCGTTGATTGCGAGGCATAGAAACACATTTCATTGTAGGAAGAACTCAATATCCCATACCGGGCCGTTTGTGTTGCAGTGCTATCAATTGAGGGTTGAGGCCATTGCTGGCCATCCTTGCTTGCAACCCTTGTCCATCTATGCAGCACACAAGTTGGGGGAATTTGCGTTAAATTTTTTGCTTTCATAACACATATCATGTGACAGCAAGGTAGCCCCAACGACTCAAACTTCATGCAAGAATATCTCATTGCAACATCTGCTAGACTGTGTGTTACTATCCATGATCTATCCTTCAATTTGTACTTATGAATATAGTAGCATTTCTGACCATCCGGCAAAGGGAACACATCCTTGACATTCAACTTCCCCTTTTCTAAGATTTCATCACGGAACATTCTAAATATATTTCGGGTGAATAGCTCAGCTCCATGTCTCTCTATATCTAGCAATGGAGTAACCAATACCGGAAAAGTGTTATTTGTTTCAACATCATCTCCAGCCTCGTTATACCTTATCCTTGCAAGAGCCCGATCATAGTGCCTAACAAATTCATATAGCTTCAATTTTTGTTGGAGGAAGGAATTGAAATAAGCATTCATACACTCCGAGCACTGAGTGCTCTTCATTCCAGCAAAGAAATGTCCACGCATATATGCCTCAACCCACATATGACGCTTCTCATATGTCTCCAACACCCAACTGTTGGTTTGAGGTCCAAATGTTTCAACCATTGTCGTCCAGCCATGCTCAAACTTTGTCTCATCCGTTTCCATGTCCATGCACTGCTTGAAAGCATGTGCAAAGCCACTTATGTGAACATTTGAAACAACATTTTTCCCAAGATGCCAATTACATAATCGATGTCTTGCGTTTGGAAATACTCTTCTGATTGCCTCTCGCATCGCCTTATCCCCATCTGTCAGTACGGACACAGGTGCTTTATTGCCCATCACCTCCATAAATGTTTCCAAAACCCATGTCTATATCTCACTTGTCTCATTAGCTAGCAAAACACATGCAAATATCGTGGTCCTAAAGTGGCTAGTCACACCAGCCAACATGACAAAAGGTTTTTTGTATGCATTGGTTCTATAAGTTGAGTCAAATATCAACACATCACCAAACATTGCGTACTCGGCCCGCGATTTTGAATCTTTCCAGAACAGATTTTGTAACTTGTTATCGTTACACACATCATACTTGTAAAAAAAACGTGCATCAACATCAAGTTTTGCACATAGGTAAACCAACGCACCTTGCGCATCACCATCCTCAACTTCAACTCTACGTTCGGCTTGAATATGGTTGTGTAGATCCGTACGGATGAAACCAACATTCTCATAAGACTCGGATTGATTTACCATATAGTCCATGATTTGGCTAGTCTTCACACCGACGTTGCGCATAGCCATTGCTTGAGCTTTGTCAGCGCTGTTTAAAGTGCGATGTGACCTCAGATACATCACACAGTGTTGTTCCGCCAATTCATGGTTGTGGTTTGCGACGAAGTGAGTCACAACATACTTTCCCCTTTCACCAGCATCTGCATCATACCGTATGCGAAATTGGGCTTTGCAACCTACTCTTGTTAGTGCCTTGGGAGCTCTACTCTTCTCAGCAACACGGTCCAAGTATTTTGGTAATCTCTGACCTTCCCTTGAACATAACCACAGCCTACTAACGACCTTTCCCTCTTTATTTGTGTTAAATCTGGATTTTCGTATACTAAATCCCTTGGCTTTAGCATACGCATTGTAGAAAGCTTCTCCATCTTCGACCGAATCAAATTTCTGTTCCAGAATAGCACGTTCAACATCACCAACCATGTCATTGCGATGAGCATCGTCAACCATTTCTTTTTTCACATCGGCTCCGCCATCTTCAACGTTCATGTTGGTTGCTTCTTCATTGCTCGGACTAGTTTCGCAACCATGATAAGGTTCCGCCCGACTTTCATTCATCAAATGAATGTCATCTGCTTCATTTGGATTGTCATAATTAGCACCTTCCCTTTTAACTTCAGCTAGGGCCATACTGCACATGACATTAGTACAAACAATTACTTGATGACCGAAAAATGTTAACACAAACACAAACATGAAATTTTCACACGGTTTAGTTGTTTGTGCAAACACAAACACTCGCTTGAGAAAGAGAAAGGTTAGTTGCCAATGGAGGGGTTTTCGTTTGAGCGAAGCGTAGAGCGGTTGAAGTTAGGATGGGGGTTTAGTTGAAGGAAAATAACTGAAGTGAAGAGGCCAGAGAGACAGAGAGGGATACAGAGAAAGGGCGACAGCTCCATACCTTATATCTAGTTGGAGAGAAGGGCTTTACTTCAGCAATCGAACCAACACAGCCTTGTAGTTCCGTTGTTGTTGGAAATCGCCCGTTATACTGTTCCCTATAGAGCTTCGTCAATGGAACCAACCCAGCAGGGGCTTCTCGCTGTTAATGGAAATCAAGGGTTACACTGACTCAACCTTACACAGAGAGAGATAGAGACGAAATACAGAGAGTGAGTGGGATGCAATCATGCAAATACAAACACAAGCATTAACCGGTTGCCCCAGTTTCAACTTTTTCACGATTAAACAATTCAATGGTCTTGATCAATTATTGTAATCTAACGGCTAACAATTGGGTTGCATATGGTGTGCAACCTTAAAAGGGTTGCACACTTAAACATGACCCTTGTTTGTAACTTGATTTTATGTTGATAGGTAAGATGGATTATAGAGAAAATGATAAAGTGTGAAATTATATCATTAAAATAATTAAATTTGAGATAAAAAATTTGTGTAAAATTTGAAAAAATTCGAGCTGTTATCATTCATTTTAACATTTAGGGGATGAGATTCTGAAATGAGTAGTAAATTTAAATATTTTAAATTCGACTCTCACTAATATATCTCATATTTAACTGATATCATTGTTGTTTGTAGGTGATTCCAACTATTTAGAATTTATCATCTTTAATAAATAAATAAATAAATAAAATCTTGGCAAACATTAGTGCTCCCTAGAATCCACAACAAATGTATATTTCATAGCTTCCAAAGATTGAACTGAAACTAAATTAGTAGTACAAAAACTTCCTTTTTATTTTTCTTAGAAAATGAAAATGATGCCTGTTTGTTATGTTATTTTGATTTTAAGAAAGTGAAATTGATTATAAAATTTTGAAAATTCATATTAAAAATGAATTTATTTATTTTCAGAATAAGTTTTTACTCTTTCCTTCATCTCCTACCACCACCGGCCAACCGTTGTCAAGTTCCAATCACTTCCAACGACCCTCCGACTAACCCATGATCTCCGACGACACTTTGACCACCACATTTGCCCATCCTTCACTGTTAATCATCATCTTTTGCAACCCATCAAACATGTTTTCTTTATTTTTATTTTAATTTATTTTCAAAATAATTTTATATACATGTTTTTTATAAACAAAAAATTTGAATCTGACAGCGCTACCAAATGAGACCTAGCTTATGCATGTTTAGAATTTTCATTATGCATAGTCAAATGGTCAGTAATTAGCAGCCTAATGTGATTAATATGAATAATTTAAATAAATTTAGAAAATACTGTTAAGGCCACGTTTGGTAGTTCCAACTTTCATTTGTTGGCACACCAAACAAACACTATGGACATCAAGTAAGCAATCTATCCCTCCCTCCACTTTCTTTACATCTCAAAGCATTTGAACTACGTTCATCAAATTTCCACCAACTATTTTTGACTTAAATTTGATTAAATTGTTAAAAGATAGAGGTTTGGAGATTTTTTTTTTTCACCTGAATTGGTTAAATGATAGATTTTCATGATAGTGTACGGGGAGGAAATAATTCTCCTCGTATAATCCTGTTGACCAAGTCCACGCTCCTCCGTACGACGTCGCTTTGTCACCTGAAAACACAAACGTGAGCTAGCCGGCGGGTGTGTGCCGGAAACCTCTCCGATGCCTAAGTCAGTAAGCTTGACAAGTAGACAAAGTTTTATGCTTTCAAAAAGTATTGTGTTCAATTACCTCCTCCAAGGTGATGTTTGTGAGCTTTTATAAGTTTCCCGCGGCACAATCCTAGTAGGACTTGTATTTCTCCATGCAGAGTCCTCCTAGGATTCATACTCCAAAGGATAATGCTTATCCTTTTACACCCTCCCCCACTGCTTAAACCAAGTGGGATGGTTTTCTCTTCGGCCGAACTATCCCATGACCGAAATAGCATTGGCTATGCCGAACCGTAGAATAGGCCATACTAACCGTAGTTCGGTTCTTCTTGCCACACAATATATTGGTTCTCCCATACACGAACCGTGGTGCATTTGAACCGCCCTACCAAGTAATAACATTCCGACCAATCTTGACCGGAACAACTTATAACCGGACTATCTTGGAGATCGGTTTAACTAGAAGCCACCCCGTACCGGAGTAGCTTTACATCCCTGAGCCGAAGTAACATTTACTTCTCTCAGCCGGAGTAACTACGCTCCTCCTGGGCCGGAGTAACATTGCTCTCCTGGGCCGGAGTAACCTTCACGGCCTTCTTACTTAGTCCTTCGCGTTTTGGGCTTCAAAGCCCAACTTGCAGCTCGGCCCAATTTTTCCCAAAAATTACCCTCGTGATAGGTTAAGTATTTTTAAAAAGATTTGATAAATTTTTTGATTCTTATCAAATCAAATATTTGAACCAAATTGTGAACTTTGATGATGAAAAGAGGAAAAAGAAGAAGTGAAAGATTGGTCACAAAGATAAAACAAACTTAAGATTATGGGAAGGATTATGGTGCACCTAATAACTAAAGAAGAAAATGGTATATTTTCATACTTTCTGAATTATAACTTAAAAAAAAAAAAAAGAAAAGTTCATAACCAAACAACACATATAAGTTTTGGTTTGGATGGACTCTTGTAAGAGCCTTTTGGCCTTCTTTAATGATACTTTCTATTGTCCAAAAAAAAAATAAAAATAAATAAACACATGAGGTATAATCTACTGAGTTATAACTAAAGAAGAAAATTGGTCATAACTAAAGGAAAAAAATAACATAACTTAGATATACATATGATAAGGGGGTGTATAATAGAATACAACACATGAGGTATAACCAAGATCTCATGAATTATAATTAAAATAAGATCATAATTAAAGAAAAAAAAATTGATTATAACTAAATTTTTTTTTTTACATAATTGATATGCATATGATAAGAGGTGCGTATGATAAAATTTCTCTAAGATTTTTAATCGGTGTTTGGAATTTGCTTATTAGGTGTCTTTTCTTTTTTTTTTTTCTTCTTATTTTTTATTTTCATCTTTAGTAATTTTCTTTTAAAATTTCAAAAATTTTAAACTTATAATTCATTTCAGCAATGCAAAGCATAAAATTAAAAAATTTGAAAATAAGTCCCCCCCAAAAAAGTTCAAAATAGTGAACTTTTTAGGCTTATCTTGACTTTTAATTTTTCTTTTTTTTTTTAGATTCGTTTACGCGGACAAGAAAGTAAAAATATTTTGACATAATTTTGAAAAAGTAACCAAAAAACGCAAAAAAAAAATAAAATAAAAAAAATCTAGAAAACGAGGCAACTTTTACGGGAAATTCTATTTACAGACCACCAACTCTCTCAATGTACACCATTTAATATATATATTTTTAATTCTTATTCTATCCCTTTACTAAATTACCCTTTTATACAAAACCCAAAAAGTCAGTCTCAGTTCACACACCACACTAGCCGCCGCCACCATCACCATCGGCACAGCCACAGCCACAGCCTCCGTCGCTGCACTCCGCCACATTCTTCTTCCTCTTTGTTCTTGACTTTCTTCAATTCAACCCCCTCTCGCTGGAACCCTATGGCCGAAGTTCTGAACTTCACTCCATCTTCGATTTTCTGGCAATTTCTGACTCGAAGAATACCCAACACTAGAGTTTCAATCAGGTCATTTGCAGAATTCTCCGAAATGCTTCCGAATTCTGCTTCAGTGAGCACCAAAAAAGCACCTAATTTAGGGTTTTCGTTGCCGCCCAACTTCAAGCCTTCGCAGCCGAAGCCTTTCTCAGTTAGACCTGATAAAATTATTAACATCTTGGAAGTTGCTCTTGCTCTGTTTTTTCGCCTTAGGACTGGTGTTTTTGTCTTTGGGTGGGTATCAATTTACTCTCTCTCTCTCTCTCTCTCTCTCTCTCATTTTTTAGGGTATGTATGGAATTATTCTCTATGGACTTCTTAGAGTTTTGTAACGTACTTGGATTCAGATTTAGCATCTTATATGTTATGGAATTCCCATTATATTTATGTGAATTTTTGGACTTCTGTTTTGATTTGTTGTTGAATCATTACATAAAAGGTAAAAGAATGGCTTCTCAACATTGGAATAGGAGGCCATACAACAATTGTGTATGACAACGATGAACCTGATGATAGTGCTGTTCCCATACATCATGAAGATGGTGCAAAAACCAGGTGATGGCTAATACCATATTGACAACATTTACTGCTTGACACTGTGCAAATATTTGTTCACTGGAGAGAGGCAGCGGTGAAATGGTGTTCGCAGGGGCGACGCCAGCGATGGGGAGATGCTAGGGATAAGGTTAGAATTTGGATAGTTTAGCTTGAGGAAGACAGGGATATTTTAAGAATTTTTGAAAATTGATGGTGTGTATTGAGGAAACACATTTTTTATTAAATGGTTATATTTAGAATGTGAAGTGTGTGAATTGAGATAAATACCTAAGAATCATATTACTAAGTGTGTGGAGTGAGAAGAAATGTGTACAGAGACAATGTGGAGTGTGGAAATAGAATTTCCCAACTTTTGCCGTTGTCGTTTGGCAAGTGAGTGGGACTAAAAAAGTACAAAGTGGTGTTTTAAAAAATTGATAAAAAGTTAAATTTTTGACTTTTTTAGTGGTTTTTTTGGCAAAAAAATTTGGATTGTTTTGGATAAAGAAACTGACTTTTTTAGCTAAAAAAGTTTAAAAGCCAAAAAGTTGGCTTTTTTGGCAACTTCCCAAAAGATCCCAAAAATACAAATTAAGGGGTTGTTTGGGGTGTCCTAAATAAGTGTCTTTTTTGTCTTTTTGGACTAAAAAATTGAGGAAAAAAATATGAATGTTTGGGTTAATTTTTTGTCTTTTTTATGAAAAAATGTGTATTAAAAATTGTATAAATTAGTGTATAGGTGAAGATTGTGATGGAAGTGATAGAATAGCTGTACGGTGAGCGCCAGTGTGTGCGGGGGAGGGGAAATGATTCCCTGCTTGTCGGGCAGTGAATTGAAGGTGTTGTTCGGCCCGTGAAGGCCTACCACGGGTCCCGTTTTCCTAATCAAAACCGTTCGATGTGTAGAACTCGACGAGTACTATATGCTTATAAAAAATCACGTTGATCGGATATCAATAGCTATCTGATCAGATTAATTTTTTTTCCATCGTTAACTATAACACCATCCATTTTATAAATTTTAGCTGATTGGATCATATAGTTACCGAAATCCAATCAACGTGATTTTTGGAAAGTATATAATACTTGACGAGTTCTACATATTAAATAGTTCAGATTATTAAAATGGGACCCGTAATAACCCCCACGGGCTAAACAACACTGTATTATGTGTACACTTAAATAAGTGCAACGTGATGGCCCCTACAATGCTCCGCCTGCTCTGCCTTTATGATTGTTTGAAAAGGAAGATTGTATAAAATTAATTTTTTAATATTTTTTTTGAGTGAAATAATGATAATTTTTTAACTTTTTGATTTTTTAGCTTTTTTCTGGAGTTGCCAAATCAGGCCTAAGTTAAATAGGTTAATAAGACAAAATATCACATCCAAACTATAATCAATTCATTTTTTTTTAAAAAAAATAAGAAATGCCAGAAAATTCTTCCCAAAACATACATGGTAGAGGGAAATGCTGGAGACCCCCTGGGAAAAGTTGTTGGTGTTATTTTGTGGTGTTGTTTTTTTTTTTTTTTTTTTTTTTTTTCTGTTTGGGGTTGAAAAAAAAAAAAAAAAAAAAAAAAAACAGTTTTTTAGACCAATCAGAAGGGACCCCCAGTACCCCACTGGGGTCTCATGCATTTTCCCATGGTAGACCGCAGAAATTCTGCAAGCAAGAAAAGCCTGGGCAAGATAACATAAACAAAATAATAATAATAATAAAAATAAAAATAAATTTAAATTTAAACTTTAAAAAAAATGTAAAAAAGAAAAAGAAAAAGAAACTGATGGCCTATTGATTCACATAATGGCTCTAAATTAGCTAAAAATGAGCAAATAAATGGAAATCGTCCCTCAAAGAAGAAAGATCAAACTAGGAAGCAACCTGGAAAAAGCCAATCCACAAAGAATATCTAGCATCTAAAATACCATCCTGTGCTTAGAAATATAAAATCAAAGGAAACTAAACAATGTTTTGCAGCAATCAATTATTACAATTCTTCACAGCCATCTATGATATTACAACACAAGCTTTTCAGCTTGATTAGAGAAATGAGAGCATTCTGTACCCATGCCCGCTCTGCGATGGAATACAATTTCGAATTTCTTCAACCTATACAAGAGATAAATGAAAATAATCAAAATTAAGTGATTTTCTAATTTCACAAGTAAATGAAATTCAATTCTGACTATGATGCATTATTATTCAAGAAAAAGAAATGAACCTTGAAAACTATGATGTGTCAGCCACAAAATTCTTCAAGCACGCTGCATCAAAAACTCGAGTCTTCAATTTTGCACTAACTTGGGACTATGTTGTCACACTTCCTCAAATTAGCTTTCTGCAAACTGTTGGATGTGAATCTCGGCTTCAAACTAGTGCATTAACAATCCAAGGGTTGTACGTCTTCATAATTGACCGAAATCTGGGGAATGTGAGCTATCTTCAGCCAATCCTCCCCAGTCTGTCTCTCGCACCGAGCTCCAAATGTGGACATTCAGCAATTTCCAGCATTTTCAGAGTCTTCTAATCCTGCAGCCCATCCGGCAAACTCCTTAGATTAGGGCAATGGAAAATCCATAATTTTGATAATGACCGGAGGCTTCCTAGCCAATTTGGTAGAGAAATTAATCTGCCGCAATTGGATATAACCAAATCTCGGAGAGCATTCAAATGTTGCATACCCTCTGGAAAAGATTGTAACTCTGGACATCCACTAATTTCTAAGGATGCAAGGGAAGTGAAGCCTTGCAACGCTTGCACTGGAAGGGACGTAAGACTATTACATTGACTTATATCCAGTTCCTGCAGAGAGTTTAGGTTTTCAAGTCCTGACAAATTTTCAAGTTCAGGACAATTACGAAGGTGTGTAAGAGGAGCTAATTTGAGCCCACTAAATTAATTAGGCCCAATAGTCCAAGGTTGGTGGGCTTGAATTTATCGCAAGTCCAAGATTGGTGGGCCCGGATTTATCGCCATCAAACGGGCCGAATCGCTCTAAGTCTCGAAAGGGTTTGCTCTAAGCACTTGGCTTCGAACGGATTCAGATGCAATCTGGAAGCTGCCCTATTAATGAGTCCCAGAACACTTGCGGACTCGGAGCTTTCCGGGATCTATGTACCAGAACCATGGGTGTAATGGAGTCCGAACAAAGGACCTGATCCCGAGGACGGTAAGTGGAGATAAATTCACTCTTTGATTAAACTAGCCTATACCCGGGTCGAGGTGACACGATCTAGGGGGTCCCTGAGACTCGGCAATATTTGCGGCAAGGCGTTTTCTTGAACTACCCCTAACCCTTATGAGGCAGGACGTCCTCTGGGACTACCCCTGACCCATTGGGATGATTGAGGATCATTGGTTAGGTGTGGCTAAGAAGAAGGGTTCGCCGAGAGGTTGATCTCCTCTTCGGGGTTTTTCTTATCCTCGGAGAGGTCACCTCCTCGGACAAGGTGGTTAGAGAGAATATTCCCCATGTGCCTTGCACATGGGCTCCATCCTACATCATGAGGTGCCTATAAATAGCACCCACCCATAGCTTTACAAGGGATGGATTTTGGGATAGATAAAGGATTTTGGGATAGATAACTCTTGGAAAAGAACTAATTTCCCTTCTCCATTATTAACCTTAAGAGTGAAAGTAGGGGATTCATGGGAGAGCCTTGCCATTATTCTCTCTCTAGTTACTTTGCCTTCTTCTTCACCCAATCACTTTTCTCCATCATCTCTTTGCTCTTGTGTTCTTAGTTGAGACTATTGAAGAATCTAAGCCTCTCATCATCTTCTAGAGGATTCGAATTTGTCTCCAAGGATCTGCGAAGATCTTCGAATTTTTCAATGACGTTTTTGAACCCTCTCATACAAGGGGTAAGGACTCCAAGGCCATAAGATTAATCACGGACCTAAATAACATTTCATTTCCTCCCTCAATTGTTAATCTCTCAAGTGCTAGAAGAGAAGGCAAATTTGTCAATTTGGGGCACCCAGATATCACCAACTTCCGTAGGCAAGGGCAAATTTCTCCTCTATCCATTATTGCCCACTCCTCCAAACTTGGCATTTCATTGAACATGAGAGTCTCCAATGCAGGGAATGAACTTTCCCCATCTCCATAATCCCCATGGTTGAAGTACTTAAGAGAAAACATGCATTCAATCTTGAGAATTTTTAGGGATTGTAGTTTGCCAAGAGGAGGAAGATGTTCACATCTTTTACAATCTTTGAAGGAGATCTTAACCAGATTTTTAAGAACCAAACCCAACATCCAATTTGGAAACTTTGAACCTTGAAAGAAATTTATGCTCAACTTCTTCAGATTCAAATTAGGTTGGAGACTCTCAAGAACCTCTTTGACATTCTTTGGAATGTTTTCTTCATTGCTCTTGCTCCAATATAATTCTAAAGAAATACGATCTTGTTTCCTCTTCAAATTGGCCTTCTTGAAATCTTCTGAATTTCTTACATTCTCGAGTCTCTTTATGCTCAATGTACCCCCAAGATTTAATTCTTTCAGCTCACCAATTTGGTAACCCTCACCTTAGCCCACAATGAACATGCCTAGTCTTTGTAGGCAAGTTAATTGTCCCATTTTATCAAGCATTGAAGTAAGAGAATCACACCCTGTGATGTCCAAGTAAGTGAGATTTCTCATGTGCTTCATGCGATTGGGCAACTTCTGAAGTTGTCGGCAATATTGTAGCTTCAGTGTCTGCAGGTTTTGGATATTACATATTGATTCCGGTAGAATTTTCATATTAGACCACGACATGTCCAGATACCTAAGATGGCTGAAATTGGAAATTGACATTGACAACTTCTCATAAGCATTTTTACCAAAATCCAACACTCTAGGATACTTTTGATTTGAAATGTAAGGTGAACAATTGTCCTTGTAAGTGAAGATGACAGGCTGGGACAATATTAAAACAGGCCGCAAAGATGGGACTTCAAATACAATCTCATTCCAAGGAACAATCCCTCCATGGCCAATATTAAAAGACAAGTGACGAATTTTATCTTCAATTTTCATGGCCTCATGAGGCTCCATAATAGAGCATTCGTATCTCATAATAGATTGTGCAAGATCATGCATGAGGTCGTGCATTTTACAAACTATTGTTCCATCCTCGTGCTCTTCCACATCTTGTAAGAAGGACCTCCAAACCAAGTCCCAGAAAATCCCATGGCCCACATTATGTAATGTCGTTTGTTCTTTAGATGGAATAAAACCATTTGCCATCCACAATTGTATCAGTATATCTTTCTCCATCATGTGATCGTTGGGGAATTGTAATATCCTTGTTCTGTAGTCTGCTAATTGGTCCTTAACATGAATATAATTATGTGTTTGATATGATTTTGTGTGCCATTATGTGAAAATATGTGGTTTTGAATTTCTATCTGTTCACCACAGGAATATCCGTTTGATTGTCTGCTTTGGAAATTAAATTGAAGGCCCTATCGGCCACTGAAACTGAAATTGGTCGTGCCATTGTGATTGGCACAATTTTTAGAGCCTTCGGTGAAGTTTAATTGAAAAATTGATCGGACTAGATTAAATTGATTAAATTGATGAATTAGTGCCCAATTATTTATTATTATTAAATTGAAATTAGTGGGGCTTTATATAAAGGGCCATATACACTCTCATGGTTTCTTTTTGAGCTCAAAATCTGAGATATACATTTGAGAGGGTGAGAAGGCCGGCTATAGAGAGAGAGAGAGGGGAGAATCGTGCAATTTTGGCCTTGAAGCTTGATAACTTTGAAGCTATACTCAAGAATTTGCTATTGATTGGAGAAATTGAGCCTCTAGGTAGGTAATTGATCTTGAATTCAAGTTTGAATAATGGTCAAGAACATGGATTAAATTCATTATAAGGAAATTGAGTTGATTTTGTTGTATTTGAAGTCATGGAATGCATGCATGTGCATAATAGTCAAGAATTTGTATAGTTGAGCATGAAAAATATGATCCATGTAGAATTGTGGCTAGAATCCATGCTTGTGACCACCATTTGTACAATTTGAGTTGAAATGAAAGTTATATCTCACATGCATGTACCATTCATAAGAAGTATGAGCTTGAATGCATGAAATTGTTATGTTGAAAGTGAATTTGGTGTAGATTGGGACATGCATGTGATTAATTTGTGAAATTGAGCTCCATTGTGTTGTAATTTGGTGTTGGTACCATGTTAGTATATGATTATGTGAAGTTTGAGCCAAAAGCATGCTCTTCAGAGATCTTCAGTCCCTGGCTAGAGATGCTGACCTTGATTCTCGGGAGTATTAGGTCGGCCTGATGTATGGCTCTAGACTTCTGAAATTTTGTATGCTCGTTCTGTATTCTGTTTTCCGTTCTCTTTCACTTGCAAGCACTCTTAGGCATATGTTAAGCGTTGTAAATGAGTTAATGAGATAATAATAAAGCCTAAAGAGGAAAATGTGAATTTAAGAACGGATTGAATTGTTGGTGACCCTTTTGTGTTCATGGAATGTGTAGGGTCGAGCTCCAGGGCAAACCAACCAACCGATCACTGTGAGTAATATCTTAACAAAGATATCTGAAATATTTTGTTGTCCAAATTACTTACTTCTATGTAAGTTTTATAAGTTCGTTGATTCGATTGGTGGACAATGTTGCTATGCCAAATGAATGGGCCAGAGGCCAGTTTGATATGAATGATAGAGTGAATGGGCTAGAGGCCATTTTGACAAGAATGAATGGATGGGCCAGAGGCTGTTTTGACATGAATGAATGGGCCAGAGGCCGTTTGACATGAATGAATGGGCCAAAGGCCGTTTTGACACGAATGAATGAATGGGCCAGATGCCATTTTGACATGAATGAATGGGCCAAAGGCCGTTTTGACATGAATGAATGAATGGGCCAGATTCCGTTTCGACATGAATAAATGAATGGGCCAAAGGCTAGTTTGATACGAATAAACGAATGGGCCAAAGGCTAGTTGGACATAAATGAAAATATGAATTGGGCCCAAGGCCGTTTGAAGCATGTTGTTCTACATACCGTTTGTATAACTCCTTTATTTGATATTATTCACTGGGCTTTCGCTCACACTCATTCATGTGTTTGGAGGTGAGCCAAGAGAAGTCCAAACCCAGCCCCAGTGAAGTCTATGAGGAACAACAAAGGTTTTGAAGAGTTAGCCCTTGCGTCTCACGCACGAGACCCGTCTTCGCCCTTTTGTCATTCTGTTTTATTTTGTCATGTGGGCGAAGTCTTTGAATATATTGTATATAGTTTTCTTGGGTTGACTTAGACTTATGTGATCATGTATGTATAGAACCTTATGTAGTACATATTTTGTTGTGAGTTATTAATATGCATATGTATGGTTTGTTATGATGTGCCATGTAAGCACAGCTCTATGGACAAAGTTTTAAATTGCTTCCATTTGGCCCCCATTAACTCTGTTAACATACATTTGGTTTGGTTTGGTTTGAGGCCGTAGGTAATCTCATGATTACTGGCCGGTTATGTCCTCAACCCACGGGGGCGGGTTCGGGTCATGACAGAGTGGTATCAGAGCACGAGTTAATAACTCACACACTTGTCCAAAAGAGCAATAAGCGTCTGGAAAAGATCTATAATGCATTCATGTGATAAGTATGAATTTGGAAGCATCGAGAATATGCCTAACTATTTTGATATGAACGATTATGTGCTATAAGTTTGTGAATTGCTTGCATTGCAATTGTTTGAATATGTGTGCTTTTCTAGTATATGCATACTTGTGTATCTTTTGTATAAAGTATAATGTAAGTTTAATCAGATAGTGAGAACTAGAGGTGATGAGATAGAGGAGTCCTCTACTGCCAGAATAGACAGAATGCGGCAAGGCGTTTTCTTGAACTACCCCTAACCCTTATGAGGCAGGACGTCCTCTGGGACTACCCCTGACCCTTTGGGATGATTGGGGATCATTGGTTAGGTGTGGCTAAGAAGAAGGGTTCGCCGAGAGGTTGATCTCCTCTTCGGGGTTTTTCTTATCCTCGGAGAGGTCACCTCCTTGGACAAGGTGGTTAGAGAGAATATTCCCCATGTGCCTTGCACATGGGCTCCATCCTACATCATGAGGTGCCTATAAATAGCATCCACCCATAGCTTTACAAGGGATGGATTTTGGGATAGATAACTCTTGGAAAAGAACTAATTTCCCTTCTCCATTATCAACCTTGAGAGTGAAAGTGGGGGATTCATGGGAGAGCCTTGCCATTATTCTCTCTCTAGTTACTTTGCCTTCTTCTTTACCCAATCACTTATCTCCATCATCTCTTTGCTCTTGTGTTATTAGTTGAGACTATTGAAGAATCTAAGCCTCTCATCATCTTCTAGAGGATTCGAATTTGTCTCCAAGGATCTGCGAAGATCTTCGAATTTTTCAATGACGTTTTTGAACCCTCTCATACAAGGGGTAAGGACTCCAAGGCCATAAGATTAATCACGGACCTAAATAACATTTCATTTCCTCCCTCAATTGTTAATCTCTCAAGTGCTAGAAGAGAAGGCAAATTTGTCAATTTGGGGCACCTAGATATCACCAACTTCCGTAGGCAAGGGCAAATTTCTCCTCTATCCACTATTGCCCACTCCTCCAAACTTGGCATTTCATTGAACATGAGAGTCTCCAATGCAGGGAATGAACTTTCCCCATCTCCATAATCCCCATGGTTGAAGTACTTAAGAGAAAACATGCATTCAATCTTGAGAATTTTTAGGGATTGTAGTTTTCCAAGAGGAGGAAGATGTTCACATCTTTTACAATCTTTTAAGGAGATCTCAACCAGATTTTTAAGAACCAAACCCAACATCCAATTTGGAAACTTTGAACCTTGAAAGAAATTTATGCTCAACTTCTTCAGATTCAAATTAGGTTGGAGACTCTCAAGAACCTCTTCGACATTCTTTGGAATGTTTTCTTCATTGCTCTTGCTCCAATATAATTCTAAAGAAATATGATCTTGTTTCCTCTTCAAATTGGCCTTCTTGGCATCTTCTGAATTTCTTACATTCTCGAGTCTCTTTATGCTCAACGTACCCCCAAGATTTAATTCTTTCAGCTCACCAATTTGGTAACCCTCACCTTGGCCCACAATGAACATGCCTAGTCTTTGTAGGCAAGGTAATTGTCCCATTTTATCAAGCATTGAAGTAAGAGAATCACACCCTGTGAAGTCCAAGTTAGTGAGATTTCTCATGTGCTTCATGCGTTTGGGCAACTTCTGAAGTTGTCGGCAATATTGTAGCTTCAGTGTCTGCAGGTTTTGGATATTATATATTGATTCCGGTAGAATTTTCATATTAGACCACGACATGTCCATATACCTAAGATGGCTGAAATTGGAAATTGACATTGACAACTTCTCATAAGCATTTTTACCAAAATCCAACACTCTAGGATACTTTTGATTTGAAATGTAAGGTGAACAATTGTCCTTGTAAGTGAAGATGACAGGCCGGGACAATATTAAGACAGACCGCAAAGATGGAACTTCAAATACAATCTCATTCCAAGGAACAATCCCTCCATGGCCAATATTAAAAGACAAGTGACGAATTTTATCTCGATTTTTCATGGCCTCATGAGGCTCCATAATAGAGCATTCGTATCTCATAATAGATTATGCAAGATCATGCATGAGGTCGTGCATTTTACAAACTATTGTTCCATCCTCGTGCTCTTCCACATCTTGTAAGAAGGACCTCCAAACCAAGTCCCAGAAAATCCCATGGCCAACATTATGTAATGTCGTTTGTTCTTTAGATGGAATAAAACCATTTGCCGTCCACAATTGTATCAGCATATCTTTCTCCATCATGTGATCGTTAGGGAATTGTAATATCCTTGTTCTGTAGTCTGCTAATTGGTCTTTAACATGAATATGATTATGTGTTTGATATGATTTTGTGTGCCATTATGTGAAAATATGTGGTTTTGAATTTCTATCTGTTCACCGCAGGAATATCTGGTTGATTGTCTGCTTTGGAAATTAAATTGAAGGCCCTATTGGCCACTGAAACTGAAATTGGTCGTGCCATTGTGATTGGCATAATTTTTAGAGCCTATGGTGAATTTTAATTGAAAAATTGATTCAGACCAGATTAAATTGACTAAATTGATGAATTACTGCTCAATTATTTATTATTATTAAATTGGAATTAGTAGGGCTTTATATAAAGGGCCATATACACTCTCATGGTTTCTTTTTGAGCTCAAAATCTGAGATATACATTTGAGAGGGTGAG